AAGCTCTGAGCAGCAGGGCCCCAGTTCGGATCCCACATGAGCCAGTGACGCTGCGCCCTCTACAGCTAAGATGGTGAACAACAGCTTGACCTGGAGTTGGGCTGCCGTGAGTCACCAGTGATGGCGTAGGCTGCAGTGGGGCTGCCGTGGGCTGCTGTAAGCTACTGTGAATGGTTGGCACCCAGCATTAGCGGCTGGCAGCTGGCGTGAGCTGCCGTGAGCAGCCGTCCAATGGCCAGTGAGTGACTGCCTCACCCGGGAAGAGCGCAATGATCACAATACCAACATGGGCCAGTGAAGCGATGTCCTCCACAACTAGACTGAAGAACCAAAGGACAGCAACTTGTCTGTTCTCCTTCTCCGATTCCCCAATGCTGTTCTTTCCCTCAACTCCCCAATAAAATCTTTAAAAACAAAGAAGTTCTGAGGGGCTATGTAATCAGAAATTTTACAATTTCTGGGGTTACCCAATTAATAAAAATAAGCCAGTTTAATTTTCAGGTTACCCAATTAATAAAAACAAGCCAGTTTAATTTATAGGTTAATTTAATACACCAGGGATTGTTCGCAAGGAGGTAATTAGTAAAAAAAAAATTTAGAAAGTTCCACAACCATCATATTATTCTAAGTAGAATTAGAAATGTTCAGTAGCAAAATATCTTCTGGCACCTTTTCCAGCTATAGTAATTAATCTAGTCTAAAGCCAGGGAGATTACTGAGGCCTGTAGAGAGAGTTCTGAAGCATACAAAGCATCAGCAATAACATCACTGTAACACGACTTACAAGTGTTCAGTTCAAATGTAAGGAGGGCTATGAAATGGTGTACCTTACTCCAGCCTCTTCAAGGTAAAGCAAATGGTGTCAAAAGACTGTCAATAATCAACTAGGTCAAAACCAACAAAAAGCCTACAAACCTTTGGCACAAAAAAACAAGTGTATACCAATGTCACCTTCACCTCAGAAAAAAAGAAGTGATGGATAAATAAAATCAAAAGAGAAGTCACTGATAAACAACTCCTAACTATAAAAAGGCAGCAATGCACTTTGGCCACAGAGCTAACATGTAATGATCATTGTTTTTTCCTTCATTAAATATTTATCAAGGAACTTTTATGTATAAGTCACCACTGTTCCAGGTAAATAAAATGTCAGATAATAGAAGAGATGGTCTCTCCAAGTTACAAAATTCTGTTATTGTGATTCTGTTAGTGAATTTTATAGTTTTCGGAAACTCAAAACAATATAGTGTCTTTCCTCTGTTTATCAAGAAGCAAGGGGAACAAAGAGACTATGAGTGGGAAATCAGAGGCAAGTTTTCACCTGGAGGGGATGTAAAAAAGAAACTTAGGAAACAACCTGCTGCAAAAGAGATCAAAATTTGAATGAAGAACATTTGTAAAGGCTCTGGACTCAATCTGTTCTGAATTTATGCAGTAAATGCCCATGCATATACAGTCTGAATATTTTATAGCACTAAAGAATACTGAGGGGCTGGCCAAGTGGCATGTTGGTTAAGGGCTGGCTTGGGACACCAGCTCTGAGCCAGAGGGCCCCAGTTCGGATCCCACATGAGGGCCAGTGACACTGCCCTCTACAGCTAAGATGCTGAACAACAGCTCAACCTGGAGCTGGGATGCCGTGAGTCACCGGCGATGGTGTAGGCTGCAGCCCCTGCTGCAGTGGGTTGCCATGGGCTACCATGTATAGCCAGCAGCCAGCGTGAGTGGCCACCAGCTGCCAGCATGAGTGGCCAGCAGCTGCCGTGAGCGGCCATCCAGAAGCCGGCGACTGATCTGCCTCGCCCCAGAAGAGCGCAATGATGGTGCCAACTTGGGCCAGTGAAGCAACGTCCTCCACAACTAGACTGAAGAACAAAAGGACAGCAACTTGTCTGTTCCCCTTCCCCCAATTCCCCAGCACTGTTCCCATCCCCCAATTCCCCAATAAAAATCTTTAAAAAAAAAAAAGAATACTTAAAGTGTATATTCTACAAAGGGCTACAACGAATTAATAGCAATAAGAACAAGCCACATTTTAATTTACAGGTTAATTTAATACAGGTTAATTGAGATTTACAGGTTAATTGAAATTTTGGCTCTGTCAATCCCATTAGAAATTACCTGGTGGTAAATCAGGATCTGTGGGAGCAGCCTGCTGAATTCTTCGAGGTTTTACTGATGATTTTGTGTTCTCAGTAGTACTACGGTTGGTAGAATTAGACCCACAGCTCTCATGGTCATCCTATATTTATTTTAAAGAAAGAGGCAAATAAGAACAGTAACCTCCTTTAGAAAACAAAACTTTTTATTCAACAGCATACAAAGAGAATGATACAATAATAAAAATGAATCTTTTACAAGATAGCATGGCTTCAGATGCTAGTGATATATTAGCAAAAGGAAAACTTTGTTTGAAACTTCAATACAACCAAAAAGCAGAAGATCTGCTATCATAAATAACAAAAAAAAATTTTGCATGAACTTATACTCATTTTAAGTTAATGCAAAACAAACTTCAGTGTTGTATTCTACAAAACAACTTCACTACTCAATCTTTATAATGACATCTTCTGTTAATTTGGGGGGATGTTATAGTCTCTAAATACTAAAAGACTACTACTGTGAATAAAATCTTACTATAATTACTTTTAGTTCAACTTACATCTTAAAAATGTCTGCAGTCATACACTTCTGCAGAATGTTAACATTAAAAGCAGACTATTAATTTTTCAAACATATGGTTGTCTCAAAAGCCCAGAAGTAAAACATGTTCATTAAAGAGATGTGAAAAAGTTCCAAGTGAACTGCCAAAACTAGCATAATTATGAAAATATTTAACACTAAAACCATCTGAAATCACATACTGTATATAGATTACAGTGATGTCATAATAAACATTGCAGCCAAAATGCACTAAAACTACTGCAGTCCAATAAATCTGGCATGCATAAGATGACAAACATTTCAAAGCAAAAAAAAGAAAAAGTTATTTTTATTTTATTTTTAAAAAATTATTAGCAGCAAAAAAGGGTAAAGTACATAGGCTAAATATGAGTTTTCAAATAGTTTTAAAAAGACAAATAGTGAATAAAGCTTCCCTACAAACTACATGTTTTTATTATTCAAAAGAAAAACAAACTAAATAATTTTGTTTAAACAAAATTATAATAAACCTGAAATCTTAGTGTGCTTTAAAAATGAGCATTAATAGTGGTACTCATAAGAACATATACTATGAAACAAACATTACCAAATGTGTAAACACTTCTTTCTTAACTGTGGTTAGGAAATTATGGTTGCATATACAGTATAATTAGAAAATAATCCTTTTGATAATTTGAACTTGTTTTCATTTCAATTACATTTTAATTGTATCAATTACAAGTTAGCTTCCATTCAAACCTGACCCAACTAAATTAAATAAAAAATAAAGCAAAACAAGAATGACAACATTTACTATTAAAACTGGAATTACTTCCATCATTAGTTTGAGTTCATCTGCTTTTAACCAGTTTGCATCACTTTAGACTATTCCACATTTTACTTTATTGAAAGTCTCTGATTCTAATAAAAGAAACTCTGTTCTCAAATATACTAGCTCAAATGTTTTGAGATAATTTTTAACCCCAAACACATTACAGTTAATATCTTTCTTATTTAGGTTGCAATTTTTCCAAAATGTCTGGTAAGTATATTTCATGGCAAAAGAATGTTTTCTCTTGGGGACCACATAGCTATTTCTGAAAATACTGCCCTTTGCTCCTCATGAAACAAGCAAAAATGTCATTTCCTTACAAAAGTTCCTAAGAGAGGGAAAATGTGGCAAACACTGTATGTAAATAGATCCATTACTTTCATACTGACAGATCATGGGATCATGTATCATACTTTTCACCTTAGCCTTCATAGGGTCAGTCAATTCAAACTCGAAAACCACCAACTCCCGGATTCACAGTGGTATGAATAAGATTGAGAACAAAACTTAAAACAGGTAAATGAATCATCCCAAGTCCTTGATTAAAAAGAGGTTAAAATGCAAAAGAGGTTAAAAAGAAGTTGAAGGTGGAACTAAGAAGCAATGTGCTTTATGCTCTTCAGCCTAAAACAGAAAAGGACTAAGGCTCACCTGGCAGCTCTAGTCACCAAAAGCTCCTGAAACAGAGTGTGAGGGCCTAGGAAATGAACTGCTACAAAGCTCTTGGGGACATTCACCTCTATCCTCTCCAGTAGCAAGTGCAACAGCAATTGTCAGATGCAATAAGAAAATGTGTAAGATTAACACTGTAGTTCAGGGAATCAGAGCCAAATAAAGTCACCAAAACAGAGGTACACACTTGGAGAACACAAGAGAGAGCCAGGGAAAACACATTTTCTTGCTTTCATGATAAAAATGGGAATCCCTGGCTCACCTCTACCCTCACAGCAATATTAATAAACTTAATTTTAGTCATTAAGAAAATGCCAAGTACACTTAAGGAGGAACGTGTATGAGCCAATCTCTTAACACATCAACTTTAGCCCACAGAACCTGCTTCCATCTTCTCACTCACCAAGGGTGAGGATAAGGGTTATGATAGCCTGGAGAAGAAGAGAAGAGAGTGGACACTCCCTTGCATTCTTTAACTTGATCCTCCCAAAAGGACGATTAGCTAACCAGACAGGCTAACCTACATTTTAATAATGAAAAAGATCACTGTACTAACTGTAAACACCTGTGTAGTGGGGCCACTCTTCTATCTCTGAGATCCCTGCTACTTAGTAACAGGACCAGAGCCATTTTCCCCAGATGATGCAATCATTGGCCATCTCTCCTCTGGCTTCTTGTTACACACATCTGACCCAGGATCCTGCTCCAGGCAGAGTATAATCAAACTATGCCAGTTAATAGCAATACATTAGGGAAAATTTGTTCTTTATTATTGCCTATGACATCCCTTTCTTCCATATCAGTAGCTGTACATCATATTGTTAACCTCTCCTCTTCCCCTCTTCTTAAACTATTGAATTGAAGTGATCAGATCCACTCTTAGATTTGGAAGGTGAAACAGGCCGAAATTAAGAAAGAACAAAAATATACATTGAGGCATTCTGGCCTAAGCCACATTCTACCATCTGATTTTTAGCATGATTCACCAGGGGCAATTGGGTGCTTGAACAGACTAATAAAACTGTACTTTCTCTTCTTATACATAACTTCCCTCAACAAGGAATACCTGATCAAAGAAAAGTATGTGTTAGGCACTTTGAAAGAAAATAAGTAGTATAAATAGGTGGTGCCCTTATCCAGGTAATTCAGTATCTACTTGAGGAATGATACTTATATGCACAAAAAGATTAAGAGCAATTTAAGTTAGTCAACAATTATATATGTCACAAAGAAACAACAGTGACCTCTATTGAGCACTTATCTGTGCAGGCCTCAGTAATGTTAAGGATGAGGAAATCAGGGCTTAACAGTTTCCAAAGCCAAAAAGACAAGAAATGAGAGACATGGGGTGAACACCAGATTTGTCTGACCAAAAAGTTCTTCCTGTAACCACTAAATGTGAAAGAAAGATGCGAAAGCAGGGTGAAAGGGACAGAAGACAAGGAGGGAGAAAGAAGAGACAAAAGAACACAATCTTTTTATTTATGACACTTCCAACAATGTGACTGCTAACAATCACATTACATTCATATCTCTTAATCCTCTTAACAGCCCTATGAATTAGACACTATTCCGCATTTAAAGATGAGGAAACTAAGGCATAAAGAGATTAAGTCAACAGTTCAAAATCACACTGTTATTAAAAGGCATAATTCTCACCAGTTTCTCTATTGCCATCCCTATGAGAAAAGCCCACCTAAACGGTACAGTACTAAGCACCACGTATTCTGAGAAGGAAGCGATCACAGCGAGCTTGAGCCGCAAAGAAACCATCTCAAAGAACATGAGGTTTGAAAAGACTGCCCTGAAAAAAAAAAAGGGGGGGGGGGAGTTTGAACAAAGAAAGGTAGGAAGGAAGAAAGCATGTGTCTTATTGAAAAGAGATAAGTGGTCCAACTTAGGTAAAATTAGAGAGCAATGAAATATTAGGCAGTAAAAAGAGCCTAGAGCAAATGGTCTCTGCCATTTCCTCTATATCATTCCAAGATTTAGCCTTTATTCTACATATTGGCGAGCAAAAGAAACTTATAAGTGGCAGACTAACAAGATGAAGTACTTCATTCAGGAAAAAGAATCTTTTGGTTGTGACAGAAAGCAAAAGCAGAGATACCAACAACTGACAGATTATTATAAAAGTTTAGAAACTAAATGATGAGGAAAGTATCTATGAGAATTTTTTTAAATGCTAGGACCTCAAATTCAACATGTTTAAAACAAAACTCATTAACTCTGCAACTGACGCTGTTCCTTTCCCTTACCCCCATTCCCCGAATAAATCCTGTCCTTCACATCCCAATTCAGTCTATGAAACAACCATCTTCTCAGTGTCCTAAGAAAATAAAAATGCTCTTTTATATCTGCTGTAACTTTGCAAAACAATGCTAATGAGCTTTGAAAAGTTCAGGGTAAAAAGAGAGACGCTTGAGCATGAATCATATAAGAAACTAGCTAAGAAATAACCAACTGATTTTTTTCAATCTGATTTTTCAAGTAAAATAGTGGATTCAAATTTGGATATGTGGTATATCATACCAATATATATGGCCACAAGGGAACAGAATATGTACTAGTAACGATCAAAATAGCAATCAGTTAAAGATATGGGACTCGTCCAAATAGAAGTGATAATTGAAGTCACTACACTTCCAATAAAAAGAAACAAAAGGATTTATGCTTCTGAAAATATGGCAGACTAGGTAACTGGAAACATCGGGTGAGGGTGATGCTAACAATAAAGTAAAAAAAGAAAATTTGACTAGGCTCAAAGCAATGAGTCAGACTGAAGAAGAGACACGTCTATGCTCCAGTTGCAAAAGCTGGCAGAGGCAGGTAAGAAATAAAGACTCAAAATACTCCATGTAAGGCAGAAGACCATTACAAGGCTCAACACTTGAAATCAGTAATGTAGTAAAACCCCCAATTCTTGAAAGGAGGCCAAAAAGAGCTCCTGCCAATTGCTGCCTGGACTATCACGAAGCTGCGTGGCAAGAGAGTCGGAAGCAAATCTTGCAAATAAATATTGACACAAGTAACTCTATATAATCCCGTATCAACACTGCAGGAGGCCTGAACTGCCAAAATAAGAACTGGTTCTA